GACCTAGATGGAAATCTTGTCTTGCTAAGTAAAGACACAGTTAATATATGGACTATCTATACATTACAACAATAGAGGGTGAGTCTATGATCTTATATGGGAAAGGAAGATGATCTTGTAGCTCAGGAGACAACACAGGATGTTTTATTAGCAGTTTTTCATAGTCAACAGCACATGGATGAGAAACTCTTTGTAGTTGAAAGCTACCTGTTGCTTTAGATAAGAACTCCCAGCTAAAATGGTTAATCTTTCTGTGGAGCCCTCAGCTTTGTTTATTCTGTTGTCCCATCCAGGCTTTTTCCTCTAATAAATCTGTGGGTTCCTGCATTTTGTTTGTTGAGTCTTGTCAATTAGTGAGTTCTTTTGTTTTATCTCTGAGTCTCTGTTATGTGGTGAATGTGCTGACTTTGCTAGTGTGAGTTAACTTTGGCCTGTAGCTTTAACAAGGGGTATGTAAGTAAAACTAACCTTAAACTAACTCAGTCTACATATGCTTCTAATGCTAATTTGGTTTATACTAACTTAATCTATATGTTAATTTTGACTTAAAAACAGACGGGTGGGGGAGTCTTAAACTTCCTGATCCTCCTGTCAGTCTTAGGGAACCACATTCCTACAAGATCACTAATTGGCTTTATTGCAATGGTTGGGGGTGATGTTTTACCTTTATACGGTACAGTAATAACAGTAAAACTCATGGCAGAGAAATTGAATACCAGCCAGTTCAAGGACACAAGGGAGAGCTCGTAAACTGGGCCTTGCCTCAGTTTCTTCCCAGTCCAGGCCTTGCCTTAGAATGGGAGGCAGCATCCTTACCAGCTTGTGTTGCCTGCATGGCCCCGTCATCAGGGGCCGCCAGGTGGTGTGGTGATTAAAGGCTCTGGACTCCCACAATGGTTGACCACAGTTCAAGTCCCAGACCTCGCGGCTTGCTTGCTTGCTCGCTCGCGCTCTCTCTCTCTCTCTCTCTTCCCCTCTCTGGTCAAATTGAAATAAATAATAAATATATAAAGTGAAATAAAGTAATTCTTTAAAAAAGAAAGTAATAACCAAGATTTAGTGGGCACTGCTGAGTTCTAGTAATTGTGACATGGATCATGCTGTGTTTTTGAGCCCACCTTTTCTTGCCTGTTTGAAAACTTAGCCCAAACTCCTCTCTTTTTTTATAATCACTTTTGTTTTCTCTATTGGATCTTTCCTATTGGCAAATAAATGTGTTGTAATGACAACTACCTCAAAAAACAAACAAACAAACAAACAAACACGATCTTGACTTCAATCAGCTACTACCCCATTTGCTTCTCTTAGTAACAAAAATGGGGGGGTGGTGGAGTTTACACTCACTATTTCCATTTTCTTTTTAATTTTTTTCTGCTTCACCTGAGTTTGGTCCCAACCAGTGATATGACTTCTGTCAAGGTCATTGGTGATTTCTGTCTTGAAAAATCCAGTTCAATGTTTGTTCCACATGGCTCTGGACACTTGACAGAGTTCATCTCTTCCATTGAGTATTTATGTCTTAGGATGCCACACTTTACTTGCTTTCCTCTTCTCAATTTCCTTTGCAAACTTCTCTCTCTGAGCTAAGCCATACTGTAGAGGATTGATCTGGGTTTAAGAGCAACAACAATGATGCCTTCATGTTGCTCACAATATAGCCTAGGAGACTCATCAGGGAATCCAATGAACTAGATGTTCATTAATTTGTAATCACTCCTATGTTCTTAGATAAATGAAACAATACCCCTTTCCCTTTCATTCAACAAAGATTTTTCAAATCAGGAGCCAGGAAGACATTGTTCAATCTTTGATCAGTCATTACTAGCTGAAACTAGGTCATCTAAAATCTATCTGAATTTATGTTTGTCCTTTGTTACAAGAAAAGCTAGTCATTACATTACTGTTAATGTTTCTTCCAATTCTATTTTTTTTAAATATCTGTTTTAAACTATTAATTGAGTGACTGCAATGTGCTAGGTAGGCATTCAGATATGTGAAGGAATTCCAATATATGCCAAATTCAACTGTTGACTTCAAGATGCTAACAATATAGTAAGGGATTTTTTAAAATTTATTTTTATTTTTTTTTGCTATAGGGCACATGCACTTGCCAGAAAGACAGAGAAAGACAGAGAGACAGAAAGCAAGAAATCACCCCCCAGGGGGGATGGCTATGCCACAATCCCTTCTCCTCCATTCTCCTCTCGGGATCTTGGGCACACACCCGCTCCCGGCGTGAGTTTAAGCCCCCAGGTCCAGGATGCGAACCACAGTCGACTACATGGGAGTCCAGGGACATAGCCATTACGCTAACTGCTGGTCCCAGTAAGGGATTTTTTGAAGAATAAAATATATGGTGTTGAAAACTTTAAAACACTATATGCTGCAAGGGTGACCCTCATGGGAAAGTTCTGGGTTCTTGTCCAGAGACCTTCCTCAGTATACCAGGCACCTGCTTGTCCATAATTTTGAAGGGAGATAGAGCTAAGGAGACGTGTGTTTAAGGGAGAGAATAGTGTTAAATCATAGAAGCTACCCATATCATAATTAAGGTCATTCCTCAGGAGTCGTCTGGTCAGTGTACTGCTATTACCACACTACTAACTATGAGTCACAAGTAGTATGAATTCCAGATGACATCTGCTTCTTAGGATAATTTATACTTCTTTTTTTTTTCCTACTATAGGGCATGTGTACTTGCCAGACAGACAGAGAGAGACATAGAGACAGAAAGCGAGAAATCACCCCCCGGGGGGGATGGCCATGCCGCAATCCCGTCTCTTCCATTCTCTTCTCGGGATCTTGGGCACGAACGCACACGCGCCTGGCATGAGTTTTAAGTCACCGGGTTCAGAATGTGAACCGCGGTCAACTACGTGGGAGTCGAGCGACATAGCCATTACGCTAACTACTGATTCCCGAGGATAATTTATACTTTTGACTCAGTTCCAAATATAGATTCCTATACCCAGATGAAGTCCATATATCATATCCTAAATATAAAAACAAAAAATCTTATCTGCCATTTTTCAGTTTATGTAATGAGAGTGGAATGTTGCCTTCTCACACAAAGGAGGATTCACCAAGCATAGGAAAGGAGTTTAGATGCTGGGAAACAAAAATCTCCACCTCATTACAATTTCGGACATGATAGCTGCTCAAAACTGAGATAAATTATTATAGTGAATTTATCATCATTCCTTCATTGTGACTGTTCTAATAGAAATGAGGGGATTAGTTATCAGAAATGTTGTACAGAGGAGAGTGTTGTAGTTTATTTGAAGGTGTATATAGTTAGCTCTTTGTATCCTCGGGTTCTGTATTCACCATTCTGCACCCACAGATTCAATGAACTGTGAGTCGAAAATGTTCAGGAAAAAATGTGAATTAAAAGCAATACAGTATAGCAGGTATTTACATAGCAGGTAAATTGCATTGGGTATTATAAGTAATCTGGAAATGACAAAGTATATGGGAGGATGTAGTAGGTTATACGTAGATACTATACCATTTTATATAAGGGACTTGAGAATCCACAGGTTTTGATATCTGTGGAGTTACTGGAGCCAATCTCCTATGGATACCTTGGAAAGAGTTTATTTTGACACGAGGTTATTGAATGATTGTTTGGTCTTGGTATTGCAGGTGAATCATCTCTGTACTTAAGGAACTTAGAATTTAGTGGAAGGGGTATTTACCCAACAAATCCTCACTTGAAGAGTGGCTTAGATTTTCTTGCTCCTTCTCATTATTAAGTAAAGCTTCAAGCTGGTCTGTGTTGGGGTTTAGGGGGGTGGTCAAGTGAAAACAAGCTTAGTACTCTTGAGACATAGAGTCTGCAAAAGAACTAGATTAATTTATAAAATTCCATGATCAAGAATATGGGCCTGGAGATGAAAGTTCTGGAAGTTATACTCAAAGTTGTGGTCACTGAAACCTGCAGCAAGACCAAGATTATTTAAATTAATTAATTTATTTATTTATTTATTCTTTTTTTAATTTCAA